ACAAGATCCAGGAAGTAACAAGGGATCTAACACAGCAGATGGGAGAAAGAAGCCCAGGACACAACAATCCCAGAGGCCCAGAGAGCAAAGGTTGTATTATCCATAAATATACTAAAAGACGCTACTTCAGCAGAGACAGAAAGTGCAATTTTTGTGTTAGTTTTAATCTACATCTTAGTAAACTTAGTTAACCTTTAAAGAAACCTCATAACGAGGACTCAATGTGAATTTTTTTAACGCCTGTTGCAAATAATTGCCTCTTATGTAAGATATCACTGAGCGGCACTTACTTTCATCAAACACGATACCTCTGTGTAGGTTGTAAAGGAAGATTCCTATAGCCATCATTATCAGACAACTGAAGTGTGCCGTAAAAAATCCTAATGACTATAGTCTGCCAAATTTGCTTAGGTTGGTTTGCAACAGCAAGCAAACTAGATCGAAGTAGGAGAATATAGAATTTCAGGGTAAATATCTCCCAGGAGAAAAAAGGGGACCTAATATGCCTGATTTTATTTATCACCGCTTTTATAAAATCCTAAGTGCTTTAAAAAATTAACTCATTTAATTTTTACAACAACCGTATGAGGAGGTATTATTACTCTTATTATTATCCTTATTCTTATCTTTAATTTACAGATGAGGAGATTAAGACAAAGATAAATAATTGTGCAAGGTCTCACAGCTAGTAAATGGCAGAAATTTACTCAAACCCAAGCAGGTCTGGCTTTCAACAGCACGCTATGTTACCCTTACTCACTGAGTGCAAAAAATTTTGTAAAATAATTTTACAATTCTGTTTGAGATTTTAGAAAATATTACTGAAATATTTGTATATGTATATAGAACATACTATATATAGTTATATATATACATATAGCAAATAATTGCAGTACAATGAAGGAATTAAAATAATTTTGCACTGTTTATTTCAGTAGTAAACAATATTTGTATTGCACAATATTGTATGCAAACTTTGTTTAATCAAAGTTTGTGATATGCATACATTAGGTGTTACTGAAGGGAATCATGGATGCAGGTGGGGTAAGGAGTGGGACTGAGCAAGTGTGCTAAATCCTTATCTAATAAGAAAATAAACAAAAGAATACAAGCAAGACTATTAAAGTAAATACTAAAAGAAATCCAGAGCCAGTGGTTAAAGTTCCGCCCTCTCACTCCTTTGGTGGCCCAGGTTCACTTTATGGTCGCGGAACCACACCACCTGTCAGTTGCCATGCTACGGTGGCAGCTCACACAGAAGAACGAGAGGGACTTACATCTAGGATGTACAACCATGCACTGGGGCATTGGGAAGGAAAATAAAAGAGGAAGATTGGCAACAGATGTTAGCTCAGGGCAAATCTTTCCCAGCCAAAAAAAAACCTTTCTATGTTAAAAGAAATTTATAATGGAGTTGAAAATAATGGCCTCTTGGGAATGGGCCTCACACTGAGGTGGGTGGGGTAGGGGATTGCTATCTTTATTATCAGTTTTGTAGTAATTTTGACCTTTTAAATGTATCATTACTATATTTTAAATGTATCATTTTGACAAAATTTTTCAATAATGTATGTATATGTGTGGGTGTGTGTCGGCTATATATTTTAGTGGATTTCTTTTATATTTTTAAATTATTTGACAGAGTATAGTCAAATAAAGCTAAAATTGATTTATTAGGAAAAAATTATTTTTCTTAGCAAAAGTCTAGTCAATTGTACATGAACAAAGCTCTTGGGAGCACCTAAGTATCCAACATTGCTAAAATAGACGTGTAGACACATACACCAACAAAGTTGAAATCATATTACAGTTTCACATCTTTTATACCCTCATACACTGCCTTCTCTTTTAAAATGTCAGTGGCCTTCAGGAACGTAACAAGATAAATTCCTCAGTCTAAGACAGGTTAGCAAAGCATCCTCCCTTTTAGTAGGAGGAAGTAGAAAGAAGATAAGCAAATAGGAAACATTAAAAAGCCCTAAAAGGAGGAAAAAAACGTTAAAATAACAACAATAACAACACTTTAACCCCATCTCAAGTTTCTAAAAGGACTTCTCTCAGAAGGCCAAGATGCCAACTATCACGCTTTCTGCTGAAAGAAATTTCTGGGCCTCATTCTCCTCGTATGTCAAAGGAGAGAGTTTGAAGAGATGATTTGTAGGTTCTCCTTGAGCTTTAAGTTTTTTCACTGTGAAATTTTCCTACACTTATCCGACATGGTCACCTTCATCATCTCTTTTGATTTTCAAACAACCCCTCATAGTAGTCAGGGCAGGTGCATTATGGGTAGACTTAGGCTCATGACGGTTAAATAGCCCGTGCAAGCTCAAACAACTAATAAGATGCAAAAGGAAAACTTGTACTTTTTTTTTTTTTTTACCATATGTATAAGGCTCTCCACTATGTTTCTTTTTGCATAGTTATTCTGATCAAAAAACTCATGGCTATTAAAAGCGGTACATGTGCCTTGCATGTTTATTTGTTCATTCACTCAATCAGTGTATATTTATTGAATACCTAATATGTCCAAAACCCCATGGGCTTCTAAAATATCCGTCTGTCATTAGGAGACAATACCAAAACCACATCATTACCCCTTAGGCTTCCGTCGTCCCTCTTAGCAGAGTCAGATGAGACTGGGCAGAGTCTTGCATTAATTCTTGTAACGGCTAGCATGACTCAGACATTCTCACCATCATCTTAATTTATTGAACCATCACTTGAGCAGTTCCAATGAAGAGTTTAAGTCCCTATCTTCCAGGAATCAGTCATCAAAGGAGGGCAGATAGGATTGTTATAGGAAAAATGAAGATATAGGTAGACAGAGATTACACTAACAGAGGAAAACATCCTGTGTTTTTAGTCTGGAAACAATGATACCAAACATAGCAAGCATTGTACATGGTCATTTTTATTTATATCATGTCTCCCAGAGTCCTTAAAATGTGATTGTTATCATATGCTCACAAAATGAGAGGGAAGAGTTAAGAATGATTTCCAGATTTCTGGTGTAGGAGATTGAATAAGCTGATAATGTCACTCAAAAGTATAAAACGATGAGAGTAGTTAGAAGTAAAGGGAGATATTTAGGTATATGAATTGATTTCATTTTAGGTATATGTCTTTCAGCCACGCAACAGGAGATTTCTACAAAGCAGGTGTATACACACACTGGAGTGCAGGTCTTCTTCCAGAGGCTGGGCTGGACATAGAGACTCAGGAGGCATCATAATAGACAGATGGTTAAAACCTCAGAATCTCACTGGAAATGTGCGTAGAGCAAGAAGGGCACAAAACAGAGGACAGAATCTCAAAGAGCTCTAAATGTTAGAAACACTTTAAAAAAATGTTAGAAGAAACAGAGAGCTTCAGGATATAAACAGAGAGAAGTTAATAGAAAAGGGGAGGAAAAAACTAGGAGAGAATCATGTTAGAGAAACTAAGAGAAACATTTAAGAAAAAGGGTTGGTCAACATTGTCGAAAGACAAGTCAAATAAGCTAAACACTAAAAGACTTCAATAGATTAGTAAATATGAAAATCATTGCCGGTTTTTGTCAGAGCAATTTTAGGGAAGTAGAGGGATTAGAAGCCATATTTTGGTGGATGGATAATGGGTGGAATGGTGAACAGGAAATGAAGATTGGAGGCAGCCAAGATACTACTCTGATGTTCCTACAATGAACACGTAGCAACGTTTGTGTAATAGAATTAAAAAATGACCGAAATAAGTTTAGCTAAAAAAGAAAATTAAGAAATAAGAGAGTAGCTGAAGGGAGCCATGCGGATTTGAAGATCATCTGTTGTTTATGTCCTGAGTACATAGAAAAAGAAGAGAGAGAAAATGAAAAAATGCAGTCGAGAGAGATCATTGTTGTGAGAAAGCAAATAACACTTGATTTTTTTCTTAAAATATGTTATGAGTGTCCCTGTAAAGCTACTAAGAGATCATGTCTGAATCAGATCTTAGTCTATAAAAGCTCTTAAATGAATTTCCCAGTTGAGAGTGTTGAATACTAAACAAGGCTAATATCTCCATAATCATTTACAACAATAGGGCCAACCTGAGAGGTAGTCCATTACTACCCTACAGGTGATGAAACAGCTCTAACTGACCTGCCTATGGTTAGGAGGGAAGAGGTGGGTGGTTCAGTAAAGGTCCTTTGAGATTTCTTCTCTCTTCTCCCCTGCGCTCTATCTTTGATAATACTTCTGTGAGCGCTGTTGAATGAGTCACATTCCTTAAACTTCTTGATCCTAGAATAAGATAGATTTTGAAACACAAAATGATTACAATCAATCAACAGAATAATGTCTGAAAATGAAATTATTTTGTATCCTTCCTCAAAAGCCATACGAATTATTTTCTCAAATATAAGACCTAGAAGACACATTATCTTAGACTTATGCGTTAAAGAAAATAGCAGCGGAACAGAATGTCCTGTAATGGACTAAATGCAAAACATCTGTTATAATGAGAGAAAAAAATCTCATTTTAATAATTACTTGGAATAAAGCTCCCAGTAGAAAATAGAGGTACCAAAATTATTTCTATAGAACAGAGCATAACACCATGTTTAGTTAGTGCCAACATCAGGTAAGCTTCCCAGATTTCATTTTTAAATTTTTCAAATATATTTTTCTCTCTCTTTGTCCTTTAATCAAACACAATATATCTAAAATAGAATTCCAGCATCTGGTATACAAGAGAAATGAATTAAATATTTCCCTATAAACAGAGCACATTGACCTTCGTTTCTTTGTATTCAATTAAAAAAAAAATCAACTAGAGAAAAATGCTTTAAAATCTCTTTTTTTAATACTTGAAATCAAAACTGCCTTCAGCTTCCTGCTGGTAGATCAGTTCTAGGTATCGGTACATTACAACATTTTTGGAACTGTGAATTCAGAGTAAAAATTGCCCTGGATTTTTGCTATATGTTTTTGAGATTAAGTCACAATTTCCTGTGCTGGGCTGCCTAGGTATCGATGTGCTGCAGTTGTTGGAGGGGTTAAAAATTGGAGCCACCGATGCATTTATATTAGGGTGGATTCATAAAAACACGACAGTGGAGCCTGGGACAATCCATTACTGTGATTGAGCAGTGACCAATAGAAAGGGAGGAAGAAGATCCAACAAGATTGAGGTAAGCGGTCTTCTGAAGCCCTGTCAAAGTGGAAACAATAGATCAAAAGGTGTTCATAGTGACCGGGCAGAGTAGGTTTTATTTTTTCTCATAGGAGGCTTGAAAGCATAAAATAAAAACAAATTGTTTTAGTCAAAGTTTTTTTTTTTTCTTTGATTTTTAACAAACTTCAGACCCAGGCACAGGACTCAACGGTATATTCCTGGACAGCAAGGTAAACTATTTTGCACTTTTAAAAACTCTTAAAGTTAAGATTGCAAAGTTCTGATTCATCAGAGGCAGGGTTGCAGCTTCAATAACTAGAGCAAATTCCTATTCTGAAAAAAAGAATGTTTTAATGTGTCTCTATTGGAAGGTGACCAGAGCAGAATTCTGCAATCGTAAGAAATTTGACAGCTTGCGGAAACAGCTCTGCACTTGTCATTTCCCTCAGTTTAGTGGTGCAATTGAAAGATCAGCATTTCATAAGTGACACTGATTTTATCTTTTCCTAAGGAATCAGTAAAATTTACTCTGTCCTTATTATCAAGCGGTTGAACTAAATATACATTGGTCAGAAACTTACTGTTACATATATGTATTTTCTTTCCTGTTAGAATAGCTCATTGTACCCATAACCTTATTGATTCAATGGGGAGGGTTTATGTCTTATATGTTTCATGTATCAGTAAGTTTAACCTATTTGTTAGTAGCCATATTGAAAATATGGAGCTTTATCTGTATCCTAAACATGTTGTTTATTTTGTTTTGTTTCTTATCAACCGTAGAAATGCCATAATTGAATATATTACCTGCCTAATTGTGATATATACCTATAGAAAGAGAGAGTTTATAATCTAAATTTCTTGGCTGAACAACTTGACTTTGTGCTTGTAATATTAGAAATCTTTCCCCCTACCCCAAAATAAAACTTACCTGAGAAGTTGAGCAACAGAGCAAGAGATTAATCACACACTTTTCTTCAGATCTTAGAACCTTCCTTCACAACAAACTGCTAAAATGTTTTTGATCTCTCTATTTCTTTGGCTCAAGGACCAAAAAGCCTGGGAAATCTCATCCAGATGGTTTTCTCATTTAGGAGTAAAAGTAAAAGCATATGCCTACTTCTTAGAAACAACACACACTCTCCGTTTGGGCTATTAAAAGATCACTTTTTTGTACTCTTGTATTCGACTCTGAGTTTCGGTTATCATCCTTGCATTAAATAGCTTGAAATGGAAAAGCACTTAGAGCTCCTAAAATTTGCTTTCCATTTCTCAGTTTTCATTGTGATTGGGTTAAAACCAGAAAGCTACAAGTTGGTGAGTCAGTTGCAATGTTTGCAAAATGCTTTGCTATAGTGCCTACTAAATAAATGTGAATTACTTGATATCCATGTATAAAAAATCCATGTCTTTACCTTCTCTCCAAATAAGAATGTTTACTCAACATTTTGGTGCATATAATTATCTAAAGGTCAAGATCTTCAAACATTTAACAGTTGTATCCTTTATTCTAGGTACTATAATGGCAACCACAATCTGTTTCATCATCTGGTTGTTATTGATAGCAGATACTGCATGGACTCGAAGTGTGAGGCAGGTCTATGAGGTAAATGAGCCAGACGATTGGACTATGCATGACTTCGATTGTCCCAGGGAATGTTTCTGTCCCCCCAGTTTCCCTACTGCTTTATACTGTGAAAATCGAGGTCTCAAAGAAATCCCTGCTATTCCTTCAAGGATCTGGTATCTTTATCTTGAAAACAACCTGATAGAAACCATTCCTGAGAAGCCATTCGAGAATGCCACCCAGCTGCGATGGATAAATCTAAACAAGAACAAAATCACCAACTATGGAATTGAAAAAGGAGCCCTGAGCCAACTAAAGAAGCTGCTTTTCTTATTTCTGGAAGATAATGAGCTAGAGGAGGTACCTTCTCCATTGCCAAGAAGTTTAGAACAATTGCAATTAGCTAGGAACAAGGTGTCCAGAATTCCTCAAGGGACTTTCAGCAATCTGGAGAATTTGACCCTTCTTGACCTGCAGCACAATAAACTATTAGACAACGCCTTTCAAAGAGACACCTTTAAGGGACTCAAGAACCTCATGCAGCTAAATATGGCCAAGAACGCCCTGAGGAGTATGCCACCAAGATTACCAGCCAATACAATGCAACTATATTTAGACAACAATTCCATTGAAGGAATACCAGAAAATTATTTTAATGTGATTCCTAAAGTGGCCTTCCTGAGGCTCAACCACAACAAATTATCAGATGCAGGTCTCCCTTCAAGTGGTTTTAATGTATCATCAATTATAGATCTTCAACTGTCTCACAATCAACTCACAAAGGTTCCCCGAATCAGTGCTCATCTCCAGCATCTTCACCTTGATCATAACAAAATTAAAAGTAAGTAACCATCAGGGTTTGTCTTTGACCAAAATGCTCATGGTCATTAAATTTATTCTGTATCTTCTATAAAAATAGCAACTGTGTTGGTTCTTTTCCCCCAGCTAACGTGTCCTTAGACTTTTTTTAGTTTATATTCAATTTTCAGCATTGTTTTGTCTATTCACAGAGAGTATTAATGAGCCAAGAAGTTCAAATCATCAAATTGCTGATTGAAAAGTGGACTTTAACAATCTACAGAGGGCTATTATCTATAGCTGAAATTAAATGTCTCTATGTCCTTTTACTCTGAGGAGATTCCAATATTTCTGGTTCACTGGGTAGATTTATTTAAGAAAGTGTACCAGGTACAAACAACCTCATGAATAGTAACAGCAGGAATATGATTTAGGAGGTATCAGGAAGGCACCTCTGTCCTAAAAGCTATAGGACAGCTGGTGCCTGAGACCACCCTAATTAGAGTCTCTGGTTTAGATCAGTGGGTTTCTCAAACTTTGGAGTGCATAGATTGGTGGCTCCACCCCGGAGTTTCTGACTGAGTAGGTCTGGATAGGACCTGCGACTTTTCCTTTCTAACAAGTTCCCAGGTGATGCTAAGACTGCTGCTCTGGGGACTATGCATTTGGGAATCAATACTGTAGTTTAAGGCTTTGCTCAGTTGAAATGGAAACAAATGCCCCTGGAAGTTGGCAACTCCTTAGGACTAATGGCAATCAACAAAGTAGAATACCTGCTCCTTTCTTGAAAATAGTTTCTGATAAGGGAGAGAGAGGAGTGCAAAGTGTGTTGGAGGCAGGGATACCATCAAGAAAAAAAGTGGTTATAGAAATAAGAGGCTGGAGACAGTAAAGACAAACTTGGCTTCTTCTCAATTATGTCTGAGACCAGGCTGAACCCGGTGTAGAAGTGGGCAATATCTTGGTCCAGCCACAAGGGTATTGGTACCAGCCTGGCACCTATCCATGCATCCTCAACACCAGTGCAAGCCCTTTAGGAAGATAATCCTGAGGACACTGCTCCTGAATAATCTTATGAAATACATTCGTAAAGTGAGAATCAGTAAGATGGTTTGGAGGAAAATAGCACAGGTAACTGTCAGAAGGTTGTGCTGCCGGGTTATTACTCACTAAAGTTTCATTTAAGCAAATAATCACATAAACATCCCATTTATAAGAATAGACTATTTTTCCACTGAGTACTCCTCAGTTATTCAAGATTATGTTTTGGTTTTTGTAATGGCATACTTGAGCATCAATCCCGGAACTAACAGGGAGGCTGCTGCCATGGCAATCATTTTTCCATGGTGATGAGACACATTGTTTAATCCTGTAGTCAAAAGTAAAAGATGCAACAGAAAAAAAAGATGTTAATAGCTGAATATGTTTCACTGAACCAAATAGTACAACAGCCAATATTGACCTAAATATATATAATTTTTTTCCTGATGAAAGTTCTGTGCTTTCACAGGTGCATTCCTTATCTGGTAACAAAAGCCCCAAAGGACATTTGATGTGGGAAGTCAATTTAAAGGGCTTCCTCATAGATCCCTGTTTGTGAATTAGGGATGCCCCTGAGAATTTGAGAATAAGCGTGTTTAAGAGTAAGGCAGCAAAATTCAATACACATTTGGGCACAAATGTTGGGCACTTAAATTGTTATACAAAATTACACAAAGAAGAAGAAGACTGTTCTTCCTCCACTCGCGTTTTAGAGATTTTTCAATCTCTAAAATCTTTTCCTCATATATTTCTATTTTTTAATTGTTCTCATACCTTAGCGTGCATCAGAATCACCCGGAGGGCTTATAAAACACAGGTTGCTGGGCCTGACTTCCAGAGTTTCTGAATCAGTAGGTCTGGGGTGGGGCCTAACAATTTAGTTCCCAGGTAGTTTGGATGCTGCTGGTCCAGGGACCACACTTTGATAGCCACTAGTTAATCTTCACAAGAACCTTGTGTGCCACTATTAGGAATTTCTGAAGAAAAAGGAACTGAGGCTCAGCTAGGTGAGGATGTTTGCCCAAGGACAAAGAGTAAATACAATAACCTAGACCTGAGTCCAATGCTTCTCATTGTAAGTGTTTTTTCCCACTCAGACAATATAATCAAAGAGCATTTTTCTTCTATCCTCACAATACAAGACTTTAGAAAACATTTTATCAATGGAGGTAAGCTAAAATAATAATATTAGAATAATTTTAACAGCAACAATATCAACAAAGAAAAATTGATTTATTTGCTTCTTAATATAGATACCAAGCATGGTCATTTCTATATTCCAAGAACATAAATGTAAAATAAAAATTGCCCTGGCTAGAATTATTGGCTCACCGTTATATCACACTGCATTATAATAACTGTTAAAGTACTTAGTTCCTCTGGCCACATAATCTACTCTACTTTTTAATGAAGTGGTCTCCAAGAAACATACCTTTTATATGAAGAATTCTCAAAATTTATCGGACAGTGAACTTTTCTTATGCAAAATGACGGAAACATTTATTTCTTCCGAACAACTTAAGGGACTTTAAATTTGGCAAAAATGCTATCTATTCAAATAAGTCACTTCTTCGTGCTCTTTCAGAAACACCACAATTAATTTGTGAAAATCTAATTAAATTTAGAACATTTGTTTCTCACATTTCATTTATTCAGACATGCATTGACTACAGGGCATGAGAGTGATAAGGATAAGGAGAGAGCACATTGAAAGGGACACAACTTCTCCAGGAGACATGGGACCCGTTAGGAAAAGGACTAGGTGGGAAGTCAACTCCGCCACTTACCTGCTGAAATACCTTGTGTGCATTACCTTACCTGTCTGGACCACTATTTCTACAATAACTAGGTGGGGAGAATAATAATATTACCTGAAAAAGGCTGTATGATGATAAGGTGATAATGTATGTGAAGAAAAATAACTTCATGAACACAAAACTGCTATACAAATGTGAGGCATTATTTTTAGCAAGTTGAATTCACAAAATGGCATAAGATCAGAGCAAAGCAACTTCTCTATAAACACAAAATCCTTCAATACAATATAAATCCATATGCACCTATAGGACACAAAGGAAGGCCATTGCCAAAGTTAGGTGGGTCTCCTCTTCTAAGGGAAGACCTCTTGCTCAAAAGAGTTTCAAAATGGGATTTAAAGCACTATGCAGATTCATGGTTGAGATCAGTTATTACGCCTACTTCTCTGAATTTTGCTAGTTTAACAGGCCTTCTTTCCTGAATGCTCCTAAATTTCAGTATAGTCATGGAGGCCAAGGGCTCTGATCCAAGGCAAGTGCGTGATTCCTCACATCCTAACCATCTGAAAAGGCTGATGGGATGTTTCCTGGCTTGAATTCTTTGTAATTCAATTCTTGGCAAATATTTCCTTTCCAATTAAACACGCTTAAGGATGGAGATATAAGGTTGTTTTCTGTAAGTATTACATATGTAAACTTATGTTAAAGGTACTTTTTTAAAAATCTATCATCACACACTATTATTTTGAATTTTTTTTTTTTTTTTTTTTTGTGAGGAAGCTCAGCCCTGAGCTAACATCCATGCTAATCCTCCTCTTTTTGCTGAGGAAGACCGGCTCTGAGCTAACATCTATTGCCAATCCTCCTCCTTTTTTTCCCCAAAGCCCCAGTAGATAGTTGTATGTCATAGTTGCACATCCTTCTAGTTGCTGTATGTGGGACGCGGCCTCAGCATGGCCGGAGAAGCAGTACGTTGGTGCGTGCCCGGGATCCGAACCCGGGCGACAGTAGCAGAGCACGCGCATTTAACCGCTAAGCCACGGGGCTGGCCCTAATTTGAAATTTTGCATTTTTAAGATAATTTTCAAGCACGTCTCTAATAATAGACTGATTTTCCACCTACACCTACACCTGTCCATCCAACCACCATGAACCTACCCATTCTTTCAATATCATATCTAACTATTGTCTCCACCTCTAATGCCCTAAATACTACCTGTCTCATCCTATAGTAATCTAAGCATGCCTTATCACACCTGCAAGCTTAGAAGACAAGTGATATATCCTATATACCTTTGTTTCCATCACAGCTTTTAATAATACGTCCTTTCTAGTGCTTTCTGCTATGTATAGCTGAACATGGAGTGAGATGACTATACACATGTTGCACATATTTTCAGGGTTACTTTTATAAAAGAGATATGCACAATCCCTCACCTACATAAAAATGGTTTGTATCTCTGCCACTTTCATAGATCAGGCCACTAGGCCCTCCATTGGACCATTGCAATAACTTCTTGGTCTTCCCACCCCTAGTCTCTTGTGTTCCAATTCATTCATTCATGCTATCTTTGTCTCCATAGATGTGAACGTCTCTGTAATATGTCCTACCACTTCCACCCTGCCTGCAGAGCACGATATCTTCAGTTATGGACCTCATCTTCGCTACCTCCGTCTGGATGGAAATGAAATCAAACCACCAATCCCAATGGATTTAATGACCTGCTTCAGGCTCCTGCAGGCTGTCGTTATTTAAACACATCTTCGACAATCTAAAATTGGTTTAATGAGCTAATACTTCTGATATGAAATTTGGTTACCATTCATAGGTTTAAGACAAAAATCTCGTTTCCCATTCTCCTTGGCCACCATTTTCGTTTGTGCAGCTTGTTTTTTCTATTCAAACGCGCTTTTGCCAATTCCATGTAGCACAGCTTGCTTTTCTTTAATTAATAGAGTAGACACAGAGTTAAGATAGTTTATTAACTCAAAGATAGCTTTTTTTTTTGGTCTCTTTCACAGCTTACTAATACCAAATAATGCAATTGTATTGTTAGGCAATAGAAAAGACATATTCGTTTGCATATGTTGAAAATTAATTATGCAGATACTGTATTCATAGTATAAATACAGTAATCTAACAGGAGGAGGAAGATCTGAAGAAAATGAAAACATAAGATATTTCTTCACCATAATTATAAAGAAATAAATTCAGATTGCTAAGTGGCTTTTGTAGCTATAAGTCTCATGTTTAGTTCAAGAATGGGTATGAAATGCATCAACTACTTTATAGCAATAGAGTTCTAGTCATTTAATGCCAAATAACAGAGCAACAGTCATTTTTAGTTCATTACTATTTCTTATAGGTGCTTTTCTTAGAACTAATACAGTATACTCTAGCGATTAAATGTCTTAAGTTTCACATTTACTATATCACATTTATTTCACATTTATTATAAGATTTCTGACAAAATCTTAGTGTTTTAACACTTGAAATCCACTTGAATTGCCAACCATTCAGCTCTTATATTTGCCAATGTTTTTTGGATTTTTTAAATAAAAAGAGTGAATGCTTTCTAACAAAATAGATGTAAAATATTTATTTCTGGGGCATTATTCACAAGTTTTATTAAGAATATGTTTTAACAAAAAGTGTTATAGTAACAATTATTTCCATTTTTCTAACTTGAATATATGCACATATGTTTTTCCCTTTTTTCCCCCTTTCCTTCCAGTAAATATAAGAATAAATTTATACTCTACTCACTTATCATAATCCACCTACTTCTCATGAGTTAGAAAAATAACCCAGGATTTCATTAAATAACAAAGTATAGTTTACTTTAGACTTCTGATTTTGTAAGACATATGCTATAAACAATAAATATTCCATAGAGATCAACACACAACTTTATATATTTTTTCCAAATAGTATTCTGAAAAATCCTATAAAATTTGATATATTTCCCTGTAAAAAGGATCATATACATTTGTGAAACACTAGATTAAAGGAAGTCCAACATGATACTTTGTTCCAAGGCTTCTAGAAACTTAGTATGTTATTCTGTAATGTGAATTCCCAAGAAGAGAACATAATGTGCAGCATTGCCTACTTACTTTCACACCAAAGCTTATTTGGGGGTGGGAGGGAAGAACCAATGAACGTACTTTGAACATAGCTTTAAAAATGCTGGCTGAAGGCAAGAAATCAAATTAATGTAACATAAAGAAAATTATATCACATATAATTATGTCATACAAATATAGGTAATCAGATATCATCAGGCTGGGGAAAAATAATGTGTTGAGAGAAATACAACTTTAAATACTTGAAAACTTGCCATGTGAAAAGGGCATTAGACTTATTCCAGGAAGCTCCAAAATGAAAAGTAGAACATATGGGTGAAATGTACAAGGATCCATGTTTTAGCTGTAGCTAAAGAAGAATTTTCTAATAATTGTTCAGAGTCACACAGCAATGGAAGCAAGTTTTATTGAGGTAGAGTTACCCACCACTGAAACCATTCAAACAGAGAATGAGGAGAATGAGTGATGATTCAAGAGAAAGGATAAAAAAAGTATTCCTGATCTGGAAGCAAAGTTGTGAAATGTTCCTCTTAGAGTTTTTCAACTCTAAGCATTCTGTTTCTTCCTTCTTTCCTTTCTTTCTTCTTTCCTTCTGTATTTTTTCTTCCTTTATTTCAGAAAATTTATATTGAGTACCATATATATACCAGACTTTACTACACATTGAGGATATAATAGTGCATAAAGTTTATACTATAGTGGATGAGACATAAATTAGCTGAATAATCGCAAAACATAGTAAAATTTTTTCTTTGATAAGCACTATTAGCAGAGAGCTGCATGGTGCAAAAGAATTAATGATAATAATTTGATAGAAGAATTCCCTAAAGAAGTAATGATTAAGGAAATATATAAAGAATGATAGGTGTTTAACCACACGGGTTAGGAGGGAAAACTATTCCAAGCAGCATTTAAAGACTCTGTAGTCCCTAGGAACAATTTGGAAGTCACTGAAGAGTTTTAAGTCAGAAGGGATTATGTTCTTTAAGGGTTAATATCATGTAGTGGTAAAGGACATCAACACTGAATCTAAAATTACTCAGTTCAAATCCCAGCTTCTCCACTATGTGGTCCTGGGCAGAATCTTTAAATTCTCTTTGTCTCACTTTCTACTCGTATATGAAATTGGGACAAGTAATAACACCTGCCTTATGGTGAGAATCAATGAGTTAGAATATGTAAAGTGCTTTGAACAGTGCCTGACACATGGTAGATGCCAAATAAGTGTTAATTATTATCATTGTGTGTGTATGTATGTGACAGATATAGATAGATACAGAGAGATATATACTAGATATATACCATATATATACATATACACAAAAGTTTCTTCTTGGTGTAGTGGGTAAAACAGTTCGGAGGGAACCAAGACTAGATATGAGGAGATCAGTTAGGATTTTAATCTTACAGTACAAATTAGGAAAAAAAAAGGTAGTTTGGAATATAAGGGCACTATGGTGGTGGTAGAAATAGAAAGAAGTGGACAAATGTGAGAGAACTAGGAGGAAAATTGTCTGGATTTGGTGGTTGACTGGATCGATGGGAGTGAGAGCAAGGAGGGTGTGAAGGTTTCTGTTTGCATAATGGAGTAGATGGCAGTACATTTTCTAAGAGGAACATGATTAGAAGAGAAGATTACGAGTTTATTTTTAGACAAGGTTAGTTTGAAACTGTTTTGATTCATCCAGAAGACGTTTATGTAAGTTGTTGAATGAGGACTAGAGTTATAAGGAGAGATCTGGACAGATATATAAACATGTAGGTGAAATTTTCTAGATTTTGTTAATGTTTCCAATAATTTTGGAAGACTTCTGCATTTAAATCATTAAATATTCATACTCCCAGGGGGAAAGACTCAGTCAGGGACAGGGGATGGGTCAGGAGTAGCAAGCATAATTCTAAGTATTGACAAATAAGCTATGAAGAATACAGTGAGCTTTCTACCAGTAATTCTATTTTTTTTAATATACTCACAAAGCTACTATAAAATCTCTGAAATTTACAAATAACCTGCTCTTTTCTGTCTTGATGTTGTATATATTGTGACTATTACCAAAAAAATCAAGAAAAATAACTAGGAGATAAGCTCAAGCCATTTTTGAAGTAATGGGATCCTAATAAATGTTTAATGCCTCATTTTACAGCCCTAACTAAAATACAAAATAAAACAAAACAACATTATCCATTATTTCTCCAAGTAAATATCATGGAACTAATTCATAGGCAAGAAAAAAAGGGCAGAGATCAAAGAAAAGGCAGTATCCAATGATAGTGAGCAATGCATTTGCAAATGATTTTTTAAAAAAAAAGATTGACTTTTGGTGGTAAGAACAGTGTAATAGATTGTTTTATTTCATTTCTCTAAATTCTCTTGGAAAAAAAACAGACAGATCTGGAACTGGCAGGGTTGAAGAAAATTTCTGATGACATCTTTGATAAAATTAGTGTCAAAGAATCCAACGAACTCCACAAAAATAATTGAATATAAATGTGTGTGTGCATGGATATTAATGGATAGATAATAGATAGATGGACATACAGAGATATTTCAAATTTACCGTGTTCTAAGAACTGTGCATTGGCCAGGAGGAGTGTAAATTTTATTGGTTAAATTTAAGATTGTATGTCATATATGAAGGATGAATTTTTTTTCGAAGTTAACCGCAACATATAGCTAAAGAATGTATAACTGTCAAACTAATACAAGTGAAAAACAGAGTGACAAAGAGTATTTATTGAGTCCAAAAGAAGGCAAGAAGAGAAAGTAAAAAAAAAGTAGAAAGCATATAATAAAATAATACATTTGAAGCCACATGTATTGGTAATTACATGGTACAGTGGTTAGGAACTTGTGCTTTGGAGAGAAAGGATCGAGTTTCAAACCCAGCCTGTGCCATTCACTAACTCTTCAATCTTTGACAAATGTCTTAACATTTCTAAGCATTGGATCCTCATCTGCAAAATAGGGAACAATATTAGCTATCTTACACAGTTGCTGTGAGGATAAGAGAAAGAACAGATGTGCGGTTCTTATCACCTGACACATAGACGGTACCCAATAACTGGTACCTCGGAATTTTATTATTGGCAGGGACTCCAATACACGCAATTGCACAAATTTTCTCTAGACCAGACCATTTTGCAAAGAAGCAACTAAGAAAAATGAATGGTGGAACTGATCCAAGTTAAAAATTTTAAGTTTTGGTGCAATGGAAGGGTAAACAGTTAACCGGAGTTGAGAGATATGGAATGGGACTGGTGAGCCATGATAGTGAAGGAAACAAAATCAGGAGGGGACAGATGAATTGGGAGAAAAAGACTGAAGTTTCCCTGGGATGAAGTACAGGTTTGAGGGGAATTAAAACTCACATAACCTGGAAGGAAGAGTGGTCTGAGCCTGGGAGACTATAGTTTAAAATGTCTTAAGTAGCCTAGTGCTGAGAAATGAAAAGGTAATGGACGTGGCCATGGGAAGGAATTGACAAAATAAACAGGAAGTGAACGTCACCAAGGTCAAAGATGTCAAAGCACTACGACTTTGTAAGAATCTCAGATGTAAGTGCTTACCGCTTATTTTAGCACCCCAGAGAGAAGAGTTAGCACAAATGAAAAAATTCTTAAATAATACAAATAATTTCAGTATCTTGTTCAGTGTCACATAACTGTTGGATGGTACACACAGGATTCAAACCCGGATAGTATGGCTTCAGACCTCCAGGCTTTGACCACCACGTTTACCATCTCTCATGATAAAATATGCCATTACAGCTGAAAAAGTTTAACAAAATTATTCTAGGATAATATATATATACTCATAGCAACTGATTATTAAAATGCCAGTTTAAAAGTTATTGTGCCCTATGGAATGATATTTTGCACAATATTTGAAGTATTGCATATATTGAAGGCAATTTATGATTTAGCAAAAAAGTGAAATGTCATATTTACCAAAAACTATAGAAAATTTTTGTTCTTTATGCATTTGAAGACGGATCTCAGAAATACCTTGCTCAGAATATTTCTGTACGGGGAAAAGAAGGAAAATGATATATAAGCATATTGTAGAATTCAAAACTTGTTAAGTGAACATAACACATAATTTGCAAAATCACAGGATTATTATCTTGATGTTTGAATTTATTGTTCTACCTTTGGAAAAATATCACTTTGTGACATTCAGCTGAGTAAACAAAATTCAAGTGTAGAAAGAGACTCATTGTCTGAGTTTTTGAAGATTTCTGAAGACAAGTTAAAATTATCCTGGAAAAAGACCAGAACAGTAAAATGACTAGCAGGAATGTCTTTTGCAAAATCCATCTGAAAAACTATCCATAGGGTATATTATGG